ATCTCTCTTTCTTTCCAATCAATCGTTTATCATCTTTGTCTCTCTTCATTCTTTCCTATCAAACATCTATTGTTTTTATCTCTCCTCCTTTTTTTCCTATCAAACTTCTGTCATCCATACCTCTCTTCAAAATTTTACCTCAGATATCTCGACTGCTGTTAAAGATACATGGGTATTTTTTATTTAAACAAAAATCCTAAGCAAGGCGAATGAGCATGCTTTAACCCTATCCGTACGCCCTGGGGTCATTTTGTATCCCCCGTGGTTGTATTCTTCACATTTTAGAATACGTCTAGTGCGAAGATATCTTTGAAACTTTCAGTATTTCTTAAAAAATCATTTTGACAGACTGCTATGCAAAGCATGCGGATCAGATTAACAAGTAAATTTCCTCTTTGGAAAGTGGGGACACAGAGTTCCCCACGTCTTATAAATACGATAGTAAAACACGATGTATGGATAGGGTTAAGTGGTGGCACAGTAAAACACGATGTATGGATAGGGTTAAGTGGTGGCACAGAGTTCCCCACGTCGTATGGATAAGATAGTAAAACACGACGTACGGATAGGGTTAATTGGTGGCACAGAGTTCCCCACATCGTATGATTACGATAGTAAAACACGACGTACGGATAGGGTTAAGTGGTGGCACAGAGTTCCCCACGTTGTATGGATATGATAGTAAAACACGACGTACGGATAGGGTTAAGATAATAACTATTAACTCCATATACCCACAATTTGATGAGCACCAGATTCCACCATAATAATAATAATAATAATTGCATTTATATAGCGCATATCCATGCTCAAGAGCTTGCTCTATGCGCTTTACAACTATTATTACCCCAGCAGACCCTCTGAGAACACTCAAAAACATCAGCTTCCGCAGAAGCATACAGTGCAAGTTGCGGATTTCACGCGCTCAAACACTATCATGTTGCGACACGCTTGGTACACAGTATAAATTCTATTTTTTAATGATTGTTTTGTTGTGTGGTAGGTGGCAGTTCAAAACGGACGGCTTCGACATTGGGTTTGGCGTCCTCAAGAAAACGGCGGACGGGCCACAGAAGTCCGCGGAGATGGAGGAAGTTGTCGCAACGCAGCGCGTCAACAGCCATATGGTACCGGAGGATGGGATGGTGCAGTGCAAGGAGGCTGGGACCTGTGAGTTTGTGTGTAGGGGTTTGTGTGTGGGGGTGTGTGTGTGTGTGGGGGTGTGTGTGTGTGGGGGGGTTT